TGACTGTAAGGTGAAACTAGGCCTCAGAGTAAAGTGGGTTCGGAGGCTTTTTTCTGTCTCTCCCTTGGCAGAGGGATTACCTCCATGTGATAGGAACGTGGCTATCAACAGGGGTTATCTTTGGCTTTTAGTAGTAGAAAGCTGACAAGCGAGGCTTAAAATGCCCTAACATGTTTCCTCTCATGACAGAGAATCTGGAAGTGGGAAGTCCAGGACTGGGGTGGCCGCTTCACTGTCTCTAGGGGCACAGGCCCTTTCTGTCAACTCCATCATTTTAGAGTAGGGTCGCCTCCTAGTTCAAGGGTGTCCCTGAAGGGCCAGCCTGGAAGAAGGTGGAGAAATGGAAAGGCAAAGGATATGACCCCCTCCTTTTTCGGGCGTTGTCTCTGAAGTTCCACATCACACTTTCCCTTGTGTGTCATTGACCAGAACTTGGTCACGTGGCCACCGCTGGCAGCACGGGCAGCTGGGATATGTAGTCTTCATTCAATGTGGCAATGTGCTCAGCTAACAACGGAGTTCTCCACTAAGGAAGGAGAAGATGGATATTGATAAGTAGCTAGCAATCTGAGCCACAGCTCTCAAGTTACAGGTCTTATGATTTGGAGAGAGGAAATTTCCAAGTTCTAGTCAGATGCCCAAATTTGAACCAATCATCTATGGCCATGAGGGAAACCGACTTTTTTTTTTTTTTTAAAGCATAAGCCACCATTATTAATGATGACTTAAATGTGTGTAGTTCATTAAAAAAAAAAATTACTGGTCATCTGCTATTGGCTAGGTATTGCGGTAGTCCCAGGAAATCTTAGGTCAGTCCCTGACCCAAAGGACTGTCAGTGCCTTTCTCATGAAGCTTATAATCTAATGGGGGAGACAGAGAATAAACAGATATCACAGTAATTAATGGAGAAGTGTACATTATCGGTTAGTGCTGTGAACCAAGATCATGTGGTCCTTGAGGAAGTGATCATCAAGCTAGGAGATAAAGACTTGAAAAAAAATAACTAGTCAACAGTCGTGGTGTTGGCATTGTAAATGAAGTATGTTACCGGTGGTCAGAAAAGCTTATGCAAAGGCCCTGTGGCAGCCGGGAAAGCAAAATTGCTAAACAGTGGTGGCTGTAACTCAAACAGCAAAGGGGCTTATGTCTGAAGATTCAGCTAGAGTGATAGAGTCAGACTGGGTAGGTCTTTGAAAACAGGGTCCTCTTCCCAGCCCCCACAGTGAGAAATCATTGAGGCATTCAAACATAGAAGAGGAATAGGAGTGACATAATCAGATTTGCATTTTTAAAAAGACCCCTGTGGTCACTATGGAGAGAGGAAGGGAGGTGGTGGAGGCAGAAAGGATCCGGGGTCACCAGTAAGAACGTAAGAGATGATGGTAGCTATGGTCTAGGGTGGAAACTGAGAAGAAAAAGAGAAAAAATAAACAGAACCTGATGGATTAGATGGAAGGGTAAAGGAGACAGATGCAGGAGAGAACCACATCATGGCTTCAGACTTGGGCTGGTCTATGGTACTTTGGGGATATCCATGTGGAGGTGGTTTGCAGGGAGATGTGGATTTGCGGCTCAGAGAGGTCAGAATTGAAAATGTAAATTTGCAAGTCATCTGCATGTGGGTGAAAATTGAAGCTGTGGGTGTGATTGCTTCATGAGAATACACAGTGAGAAGAGGAGTCTAGGAGAGACCTTGAGGAGCACAGACCAGGACAGAGGGAACAGGAAGTGGGTTCCTTACTTAGGCACAGGAAGATGAGTCTGCAAAGTCACTAAGTGGAGCAGCCAGTCAGGTTAGAGGGGAGCCAGAGTTGCATCCCAGGGGCCTTCTTTTGAGAGGACTGTGAAAAGCAGACTGGACATATGCTAATTGACGTGCTCTGGGCTGCAGGTAATGGGGACATGGGCTTTCCCATCTCTGCTCTGCTATCCAGGCTGTGGGCTTCATGCTAGGGCTGGTTCCCTTTACGGTCACAAGATGACACATTAGATGTTTATTAATATAAAATGCTGTCTAGAGTGGGTTCTGTTCCCTGGACCTTAAACAAATGTAACTGATGCAATAACCAATCAGGAGCAGTGTGGATGGCCAGGGAAGGTGTCAGATGCCTGGGCCCCTCAGACTCCCTTTGGAAACTTGGTGGGGGGTTTCCATACTGCTGTCATTGTTGGATGACAGGATGCAGTCAGCCTGTCCAGAGGTGTATGAAAGGAAAGGTGGACAGGCACCAGGCTAAGGGTATAAAATTGGAGTGCCCTTCTATAAAAAGAAGAAAATTGAAAGGTGGCTCAAAGGGAGATGGAGTTCCAGCCTATACTCCCAAACCCCCAGCCTGGCATTGTGCCCTCAGAGCACACCCCCACCCTGTGAGTCTGTGCTGGGGGGTTGGAGTTAAATGGCACGATGTTAGTGGTCCCCAGTGAAGTTGTTTAGTAAGGCAAGGAGAGATTTGCATTTTGAAAGCTCACCAAGCCAGCTGGCAAGGAGGATGGACTGGTGCCCCACGAGCTTACTGAACACTTTTGGTGACAGGTAGCTCACAGGCTCCAGGGGCAGCTGCTAGTTTTGGGACAATGTTGCTGAGCCAAAGTCAACCTTTTTGCATGCCTGCATTTGCCACTTGTATGACCAATAGGACTGGCCAGAACACACACACCCACCTCCCCCACTGCCGGCCCAGAGAGAAGGGTGAAGTGGGGAAGAATATAGGGATTGTAAACTGGCTGTCAAGGGACAAATCTGGCCCACGGTTGTATTTGTTTGAGAGGTGCAGTTAATTTGAATCGCAATTAAGGTGAGACCTGCTGTTTTCAGGTGCCACCATCCCCTAATGTCTCAGGGCAGCCTGCCTCATTCACTTATGTTATTAATCTGGGTCTTGAACCCTTTCAGTTTGCAATCCCAGTATATGAGGACCATTTAGGACTGAGGTTGCCCAGAATCTTGTGGATGTCAAGGGACTCCTTGAGCTGTGTGACTGCTGGTGGCAGCTACAGGCTGGTCAGGCTGGTGGGGGGTGGGGAGGGATTGAGTGGGAAAAAAATCTGGCTGCCTCTTAGATGTCCCCCCACCCGCACTTGTCCCCATCACAAGGTCTAGAGGCACTGATGAGTGGCCAAAGTCCCTTTAATATCCCTGAATTGCCTTACAAGTAATACTGCTGAAGGTGAGGAAGGGATGGGAGTCTGGGGTGGGAGATGGGGGAGGAGAAGGGAGGGAGAGCGCCAAGCGCTCATACAAAATATGGCCAAAAGGCTTAGCATGCATGGAAAATTATTGCTGTCGGAAGTTCCTATTTACAGGATCAACACCCTCCATAATTGCTTCTGCATCCCCTCTCCCTCCCCTCATCCCTGCCGCATCCCTTCCCAGGTGGGCCTGGAGCTGAGAAGCCCTAGAGAAGTGCCCCTGCCTCGGGGGATGGGGGGTGGAAGTTCAGGCTCCACCCTCATTTGCGGCTTAGGGAAGAGGGGGGAGGGTCAGAGATTCTGGGACTCCTGCCCCCGAGCTGGGCGCCTAGAGATGGGGCAGAGGCGTGTGCTTAAAGCAGAGGGGGCAAGGGCCCGCGAGCATGGAGGTGTGTGCTTCGGTCCTCGCCCGGGCATGCAAAAGCGCGGCGGGGGAGGTAGTGGCGGCCAACGGGGGAGCTGCTGGGAGCCCCGGCCCCTCTGCCCGGGAGAGTTGCATAGACGTGGCGGGAGGGAGCGCTCCTCCCGTGGAGCGGAGCGGAGCGGGCCGGAAGCCCCAGTGGGTCCGGGGCTCAGTCGGTCCCTGGAACTTGGGGTTCCTCAAGAAGAGGAATGAATAGGAAACATATCGGGGAGGCTCCTCTTTCCGGTCTCCCTGCAGTGGGAATAGAAGGCTCAGGAGGGCGGGGACCTGCCCCAAGACTGACCTCCTGATGTCCCCCTCCCCCCAGTTGAGGGTCAGCAGGCTATCCCTCCCGTTCTCACGCCCCCTTCCCCAGCAAGTTCAGGCTCTGATGAGGGTAGGGCTTCTCCCCACTCCCCGAAATGGGGTGTGTTGGGTGGGGGGACAGCCTTCTATGGCCTTTGCTGTCCCTCTCCTTGACTGGCTCCCTGACCTCCCAGTCCAGCTGGGGAAGCCAGACCATTACTGGGTGAGGGCAAGAGATTAATTAGAATAGTAAATAAATAAATAAATACAGAAATAAATACACTGGAGAGGCCCAGCCGGATGGGGAGAAGGGCATTTGTGAGGTGCCCCAGACCTCCCCCAACAGATAAAGAGGGTACCTGTAGTCCTGTGGGTAGGGAAAGTGCTCAGAGAATCTGCTGGAGAGGCTGGAAGCCCAAGGAGGGGCTATCCCAGGGTTAGAGAGGGGCTACATTAGGGGGCCGAGCCCTGAACTGACCCTCATGTCTGCCCCAGGTCAGGTGAACTCAGAGGGTCGAGAGCTGCTAGTGGGATGAGGGGTCTGGAGAGAGTAGGGGGTGGTAATGAGTGAGAAGGTCCCCCAGAGGATGAGGAAGGTGGTGTGTGAATGGCTAGACTAAGGCCAAGGTAAGGGCAGGGGGATCTGGGACAGACTGGATTAGATTCCTAAGGCCTGCGTCCTGGTGTGGATGGGAAATCCATGGCAGGCATGAGAGTCAACTGAAGGTTTAAGCCTTAAGAGTGGGGGGCTCCAGTAGAGAACCGGCCTGAAACGCAGTTGGGAAGTGAGAGGAAAGGTCTGCAAGTTAGAAGGGGAGAGCTGCAGGGTCTGGACGGGAGAAATTCCGGCTAGGGGGCCCGGCAAAGGTGCGGACCTGGTGCCTGAGTTGGGAGCCTTGAGGGCGCGGACAGCGGGTCAAGGTCCGAATCTTGGTAGCCGGTAAGGACGAGGCGGGTCGGGATGTACTTGGGGAAGACAGTGGCAGAAGCGAGTTTTGGGTTTGGGGGTCGGAGAGAGAAGTTCCGGTCTGGGAGTAGGGTCCCCACGAGGGCCGTGGGCAGGGGGACGCAGCTGGGGGACCCGGGGGCGCGGTGGGCAGCTCAGCTGGTGGGGCCGGCGGGCGGCGGCGGCGGGGGTGGCTCGGCCCCCTTGACGCAGGCGGCCTCGCAGTGCTTGTGGAGGTAGGACTTGAGCGCGAAGCTCTTGTCGCACTGGCGGCAGCGGTAGTGCTTGAAGGCCGAGTGCGTCTGCATGTGCGCGCGCAGGTTGGAGCGGTCGGCGAAGGCCTTGCCGCAGTGCGCGCAGCCGAAGGGCTTCTCGCCGGTGTGCGAGCGCATGTGGCCCTGCAGGAGCCAGGGCCGCGAGAAGGCCTTGCCGCACACGCCGCACTTGTGGCGCAGGTTGTGCGTGAGCACATGCATGGCCAGCGCGGGCATGGACACGTACGCCTTGCCGCACGTCGGGCACTTGCGCGCCAGCTGGCTGTCCAGGCTGCGGTGCGTCTGCTTGTGGCGGCTCAGGTTCGACGACGTGGCGTACGTCTTGCCGCACTCGGCGCACGCGTGCCGGTGCCCGCCGCCCGCCGGTGCCCGCGTCCCCGCCGCGCCGCCGCCGCGAGCGCCCGTCCGAGATGAAGAAGGCGTCCATGGAATAGCTGTCGGTCACGGCCGCCTCCCCGCGGAAGTAGCGCGCCGACAGGCTGGACTGAGGGCTCTCGGGGTCGCTGTACTCTTCCGGGGCCGCCGGCGGGTACGCGGGCTCGGCCGGCGCCAGCTCCAGGCCTGGCTTCTGGTCCGCATCGTAGCTGCTGGGGGGCAGGCAGTGCGGGGCGTAACCTGGAGGGGATGAGACAAGGGCGGGGAAGGTGAAGCGCCCAGGAGGCGACCCCGTGGCCTCTCTTTGGGAACTGAAGTTTGCTTGTATAGCAGCAGTCGCTATCCTGCTTCTGTGGTTCTGGGGTCAGGATGACCCTGTTCAGATCCTAACTCCGTGGGCCGCAATAAAAATCACCCACCTCCATCCTTGTGGAGCACTGTGGGGTTGAATTCTACTGACTTGGTGTTGACTATCTTCTTAAGTGCTCAAGGCCACGCAGGGAAGGTATTGTTGTATAGTCTGTACAGAGGGAGAAACTGAGGCATATAGTCTAAGCCCCCAAGTATTTGGTGAAGCCGGGATCCAAACCTTGGCAGCCTGATGCCAAAACCCAGGCTTTCTTTATTCCAGCAGCATTCTGTCATTCGAGTCCTTTGACATATCTGAATCTTAGCTTCCTCACTTGCAAAATGGAGCTTATGATCGGACACTCCTTCCCAGGGTCTTTGGGAAGGACTGAGTAAAGTAACGAAAAGAGCCATGCATTAATTGTTCCTGTGCACCAAGCTCCGCCTCCATGCTTTACTCTCGTTAACTCATTTAGTCATCACTGACCCTATGAAGTAGATCCTGTTTTAACTCCCATTTTACATATAAGGAAGTAAAGAAAGAGCACACAGTAATTGCTGTATAAATGTTAGCTCTTACAATTATGCTTTTTACTTGCTTGAAAAAGCGACTTCACTGAAGATTATTTAATTGTCTGCCCCCCGCCCCTCACCAGACGGTGAGCTTCTCGGGGTGAGATCTGTGTGCCCAGCACGTGTCTGGCTCAAAGGAGGTGTACAAAGAATAGACATTGCATGAACGAATCACAGTCCTGTTAAACCCACCTCCCAGGGTTGCTGGGGGATTTAAAAGAGGTCAAGTATGTGGCATGTAATAAATGCTCCAAGAAGGGCATGTCCTTGTAATTTGCTCCCAAGCCCGTTTTGCTCCCTGCTCCACTGGAAGCCTTCTGGAGTCCCCTTGTGAGATTCATCCCCCTTCTGAGCCCCTCCTTCCTCTCTAGAGTTGGATCAGAAATCCTGTCCATTTCAGGACCTAGTGACTGTTGGGTGGGTGGGCTGGCACCCTCCCAGGGCATTCTACAGGGGCTTTCCAAGTGCAGGGACCACCCTGATTTGACTCTGCCTCCCTGGGCCTTGCCTGGTCCCAGCACCCTCCCTGAGGGCCCTGGGACCTGGGCTCCCAGGAGAGTTTCTGGCAGATATTACACAAACTTATGAAACTGGCCCTGAAATACCAATTATTTCCCTTGTCCTTTGATTGCAAAAAACAGTGGGGGTTAGGCTTCTTTACCCGGAGTAGCAAAGCGGGAAATATGACCCTCCACCACCCCTAGCATCCTTGATTCAAATGAGCAGGTGGAAGAGGGCTTTGTAAGCAGGGGACTGGTTTCAGAGCATTCATCCCTTGAAACAACCTGCCTGCTTCAGCCTTTGTGCTTTTGCCTCTCTTCTGGCCTTTGGGATGGTCACAGGGTGAAGTCTGTGCAGAAGGCACCCCGGCCCAGAAAGTGTACCTTTATTTTTTAGCCCTGTCCCTTCAACTGCCCAGCAGGGACCTCTACACACAATGACTGGGGGTTGTGGAGGTGGAAGACTCAGTAGGGAGGGCACTGGTCAGATGCAGAGAGGGCAATGGTGGTGGCAGTTTTATAATGGGGCGGGTTCGCAGCCTCTCAGCACCCCATTCCCCCCTCCTGTCTGCCTTTCATCTGGAGGTTCCCCTTCCTCCCACTCTAGGAATCAGGCCTGGTACTAAAGCCCCCCAAACTTTCAAGGAGTGTTGTTTCAGACTGAGTCAAATACCTGTTAGGCATGCCTAGATACCCTCTTTCTTCTGTGTTTCTTCCCATTGTGATTATTGATGATAATGATAATACTAGCTGATATTTACTGAGCACTTATGAAGTACATGGCAACCCACTCCAGCAATCTTGCCTGGGAAATCCCATGGACAGAGGAGCCTGGTGGGCTACAGTCCATGCGGTCGCAAAGAGTCGGACACGACTGAGCAACTGAAGAAGATACTAAGTACCAAGCTCTGTGCTAAGTGCTTCACTCCCGTCACCTTGCTGAATCACCACAAAAATACTTGTGTTACAGATAAGGAAACAGATGCAGAGTGGTGGTGGTACTTGCTCAAGGTGGGACAAGAGTTGGAACCCACTGCACTGCTCCTCTTCCACACGCTGGGAGGAGGGGGCATGGCTGGGTTGTTCATCTACTGGCAGAGCTCCAGCTAGTGAGCACTTGGTAAGTATTTGTGAAATGGGTGGTGAATGGGTGATGAAGATTCGCCAGGCCAGCCTCAGTCCCTAGTGGAGCAGGGTCTGCCAGGACCATTCTGTCTACCAGATCTTGGGACAATTTGATTTCCTTGACACTGATTCTAACTGGGTGACCTACAGCAAGTTGTACGTCTTCCTGCATCTCTGCTCTGTTCTCTGGGTATGGGGATAGTATAGAATCCATTTGGAGGGGGTCACTGATCATGTGACCTTGGATATGCTATTATTAAGGAATGATGGCATATTGGTTAAGGGCACAGTTTTGGTACCAGACTACCAGGATTGAGTTCCAACTTTACTACTGCTGGCTGTGTGATCTTAGACAAAGTGTTTGACCCCTCTATGCCTCTGTTACCCCAGCTGTGAAATAGGGGAAAATAAAAGCACCTAACTCACACAGTTTGTAGTACAGAGTCCATGAATAAACAAACAATAAGTGAAAAGTGAACAAATAACCAACATTCCCAGAGCACTCTTGTGTCTGATACTGTTTAAAGGTTTTACACACGAATGCATCCCACCCTCATGGCTCTGAGGTTGGTACCATCTTACAGATGAGGAAACTGAGGCATAAAGTAGTTGTTAAGCACCATACCCAGGGTTGTGCAGCTAGTAACTTAGAGCCAGGATTCCAACCCAGTGCCTGGCGTGATACATGTTGGCTGTTACTCTGAACAATAACAATCTCCCCAGGTGGGTTTCTGTGCTGGAAACCTACAGTTTTCTTGGCATATGCACAGACACATCTTGCACCTCCAACCTGGGCCACTGTTTCCTCACCCAAGATGTGTAGGTTCTGGCTCACGCTCTGATGAGAAAACTGGTGATCCAGAAAATTGATAACAGCTCAATGGTCTGGGCAGTCCTTGCCCTAGCGGGACTTTCTGTGGTGCCCTCTGGTGGTGACTTTTAGTACTGCAGTACTCCCTCCTGTTGCTGGGGATCTCTATATAGAAATACTGGCACCTCAAAGGCTGAGCCTCTGCTTAGGGACAGATGCGGAATTGCCTTCTGGTCAGGAATTGTGGGGCCAGACATGGTGGCTAGCAGCTGCGGAGTTTGGCATGAGTTGTGGGGTGGGAGTTGAGGGTTGCATGAGAGTTTTCTGTGGTCGTCTTGGTGGAGGTGGTTCTAACTTCCTTTGTGATCGTGATCAGGTTGCCTAACCTCTCTGGACTCTGTCTTTACCTGTAGAAGGTTGACTGAGATGCTCGAAAGACCCTTGTTGCATCGTGGCTGAACGGACCCCTCAATGATGCCCATTGTCCTGTCCCCTACCCCCCAATCCCTATCAGCTCCATCTCATTCTCAGACTCACAGACCTTTCCCTAGCTATGTGACCTTGAAAGTGAAAGTGAAAGTTGCTCAGTCATGTCCAACTCTTTGTGACCCCATGGACTATACATTCCATGGAATTCTCCAGGCCAGAATACTGGAGTGGGTAGCTGTTCCCTTCTCCAGGGGATCTTCCCAACCCAGGGATCAAACCCAGGTCTCCCGCGTTGCAGGCGGATTCTTTACCAGCTGAGCCACCAGGAAAGCCCATCTGACCTTGGGCAAGTTATTAAACCTTTTCGTGCTGCATCTGGATAAAGAAACTTATAAAAGGACTGACTGAATTAATGGTGTACAATGCCTGGCACACAGTAGACTCTCAAGCTGTTATTTAATTGTCATTATTATTGTTCCTACATTTTCTAGTGGTACCCTCTAATCTGCTAAAGAGTGAAGGGGACACACGTGGGTCATCTCAGGCTGCTGTGTTACCTTGGGCAAACCACCTCACCTCTCTGGACCTCAACCCTGCAGAATCCTTTAGGACACTATAGAGGCAGTGCTTTTCTGACTCCTTGCATGGAACTCACACAGGTTTTAGATGCCTCCCTCTGTCCTACAGGTGACCATAGAAGGATGAGTTACCTGTCTCCCTGCCGACAGGGTGAGATAGGCCTCTCTTTTTTGGAAACAGATAGAGGCAGGGAGGGCCAGGGACCCAGGGAGACAAGACTGACTCTTTTACTCATATTCCATCTGTGTGACCATGGGTAAGTCACAAAGCCTCTCTGGGCTCCAGTGCCCCATTTGAGGGATAGAACAGAGCCCCTCCAGTCACATGGGGCTATAAGGAAGGCTCAGAAACACTTAGGAGAAGCGGAGATGTCATGTACATCACCTGAGAATGACTTTTGATTTTCCCTGCTCAAGAGTTTTGATATTTTAGACTGAAGGTCCAGAATACATTTTAAAAAATTTTGCAAGGGAATTTTATGAGAAATCAGGTGTGGGCATTTCACAAACATTGTCTCTCCCAACTGTCTGACCCCCTGAGATGAGGGTGGGGGGAATCTCTGAGAAGCACTGCTGCTTCCAGCTGCCGTTGTGCCCACCCCCTGTGCCAGGCACTGCACTAAGCCCGGAGGCCTGGAGAGGGCAGAGGAGTTGCTCAAGGTCACTGGAGGAGGAGTAAGGCTTGAAATCCTCCAGAATCTGTGTTTTTTCCCCCAGAACCCCTGAGCAGGCATGGAGACCTGTTGAGGGAGGGAAGATTTTCAGTTGGTGGGAGGCAGGGGCGGTGAGTTTCTTCACCACCTAGTTGGCCTGTGTCTGGTGTAATGACGGGGTATTGGGGGTGGGGCGAAGCTATTCTTCTAGAAAATGCACCAG